TCTTGTCATAACGTTGCAACACTGAAATTGTCAAATCTGGAATGGAATTAAAATTCCGAGTATAGTTTTAAAGATTTAAACATACCTACTTACATACAAATAAAGGGACAGAGAAAGCGATTATTTTTTAAAATAGGTATGTAGCGATGAATCTAAAAACATTAGCTTCAGTCTGTGAACTAAATCAATTTTCATATCTTTACAAATAAATGCGCAGACTGTAATTAAGTAAACATACTAGGTAGGTACATAATACACACAATTAATGTCAATCACCTATCTTGAAGATTTTTTTACGATACTCCAATGAATTGCCTATAAAATCTTAACGACTGTTTTATGAAGAAGGCAGGCAGCATTATAGGTGAATAAATTTTTTTTTTATTATGTTATTTCTGTTTTCGAAGCCCTATGAATATGTTTTCAATAAATATAGCTTTGTTTGTTTTTAGAATATAATAGATATTGCGTTTTAAATTACGTATTTTGTCTATCAAAAACCTTTTTCGTTTTTAATTGAATTCAATACTCAAAAAGGTTTCCCTTAAACAAATAATAATGAATATTAATTATAAATTTTTCAGGTTAAAAACTGCAGTCAGCAATGAGCCACCTGTTGTACATTTTCTTTGCGATCCAGTAAATTTAATTCCTATATTTAGATATTTTTTAACGTTGTACCTCACAAGGATATTCTTTTTTGTCTCACACACACATCACACCCACACTTGGAACAACAATTTGTGGAATACACAAATTTCGAAGTATACTTATTAAAATATTGAAGCAAGATGTAAATAATAACATTATTTATTTTGATTTCAAGAATGAGTTCACATTTTGAGTGATGCAATTGAAGGCCTAATCTCCTTCTCCCTGTAAACAAATCCCCAATTCTCAAATCCCTAACTCCAAAACGCCCGTGGACTATTGAGGTGTCCATTGAACCCTCAATATGTAGACACCTCACACCCGGTTTCTGAAAGGCTTGTCAACGCTAAAATTAACTAATCTCCTCTTAAATCGCTTGTCAAGTCATCTGATTGGTTGTTGATAATTCAGTCAACCAATCAGATGACTTGACAAGAGATTAAATTGATTTTAACATTGACCGGCCTTTCGGAAACCAGGGGTAAATGTCCTAAAAATCCAGTTGCTTAGTATTCGTTGATTTGTCTGCTCGCTTGACGCCCAAGTTCATCGAAAAGAAAAGGTAGGTCTAATTAAAGAGTACATTGTTAATTTCATTCATATCACTCATTCTATAGAAGAGAAAAAAAGCTTGACGTAATTTCTATGTCATCAATAATAATCATATTAAACGCAATATTTACACAATCCTTTTAAAACTATCGCCCCTATGCAAACTGCAAACACAATATTGACTCTCGATTAGCCCATATAAAAGAGTGGATCCTCATGGGATTTTAACGACCTATACAAACACCATTACTGATGGGAGTGGCCAAGATTATAATATCCATTATGGTGATATTGGAAACTATAACGACACCATGGAAATTTTACAATGCATGTTGCATGTTGTCCTTTGGATTAACGATGGTCGTCAACAGTGTTATGAAATTGTAATTAATTACATTAGTTCAATTCCTTATAGAATTCATAGGAGGTTTTTCACAGCAAACGAGTAGATGGATCACCTGATATTTAGCAATTGGCTATTTACAACCGCAATACGAAAAAGTTCCAAATGCGTCGAAGACCTTTTAATAATTTGAGATTTGAAAATCTAGGATTAGGTGATGGGAAATGTGGTAAAGTCACATTAGATTTAATTCCACTATCCGATCCTTATATCCGCAACCTCTCACCCAAAAAGGACGGCAACGTACTTGTAACTGCTTTGGTGTTGCGGGTATCCATGAGCGGCGACGATTGCTTACCATCGGGTAATCCGTCTGCTCGTTTGCCGACTTATACCATAAAAAAATCAGCAAACCTCCATCACCATCTATATTATTTTCAACCGATTTTTAACGATTATCATAAGAGCCACTCATATCGCTATAGACTCTACGTCGTACGTTCGTCGAACGTAATACGTTCTGAATGTTGCCGTGTTTCGCCCCCTGGTAGGTTGGACTACTAGGGGTTAGAAAATAATCAGCAGTGAAAGTTATAAACGTATCGAAGGCCTTAAAGAAAAGCAAACACACAATAGGCTCTTTAGCCTTTTCCCCAAAAGCCGGGCGCCTTTTGAAGGTTTCTCCCCGTCAAAAACAAAAGGTTCTCTTGCCTATTAGCTCCATAATGTACCGTGACCTCGACGCTAAATAGAAAAAACGGGGTGGTGTTTAGCCAGTAAGAGTCTGACACATCAAACAGTAGGCTGCGCGACGTCGCCGCGTCCGCGCACGCTGCTCATGAGGAAGAACCCCTCTGTGGTTCGAAACTAGTAGAGCTTTTCTCAACATTTACACGTGAGTAACCCGCGAATTTTAGTTAATTTAGTCTGACACATCGCACAGTAAACGTACTAAGTACATTATTATCAAAGTAATATACGAAAATCTGAAAAAATAAATATTTATTAATGTTTTGGCCGATGGATCTCGCACTTATAGGGCTCCAGAGTAATTATTGAAAATCCAAAAGCCCCTATGAGCTTTTTGACCTACTATTCGAATCAGTGGAGCGACGCAGCACTGTCATATTATTGCTGTATGTCCTATAAAGATTAGTTATTAGTTAGAATAATCTAAGAGAATATGAGAAAACTGAGTTGATCTGTATCCAGTAACCTATAAAAACTTTCAAAGAGGTTTGATCGATCGCTGAACTTTTCCTTAGGGAACTCGGTTTCAGTAGCATAATTAAGCGCTTAGATATTGCAGCGCTCTTGTATTTACTTCAGAACTTTATAATTGACTAGTTTCTGTTGATGTCTTTGCCCGTTTCTATGATAAACTGTAGTCTATATGTTATTCTAGTTTATATTCTATCAGTGTATTGTTGATTGCACGGTTGGTGCGGTGGCTGGGCCGACTGGCTGCCGTGCAACGTGTCGCGGGTTCGATTCCCGCACGGATCAACTCTTTGTGTGATCCACAAGTTGTTGTTCCGGGTCTCGGGGTCCTGTGTATGTGAAATTGTATGTTTGTAACCGCACCCACGACACAGGAGAAAATCTTAATGTGGGGCAACGTTTTTTTTTATATAAAAAAAGTGTGCCAAAGATTCACTGAAGTAAAATAACCTCAAGATTCATAAAAATGTTACATTTGTATTATTTTTAGGAAGTTGTTACACATTTTCGCTCTTACGTCAGTAAGCCGTGAAACTAAAATAAAATTCAAAATAGCACTATTAATTTTCCGAACTGAAAATCAAATATTTATCTGCACGGTTGGCGCGGTGGCCGGGCAACTGACTGCCGCGCTACGTCTCGCGGTGTCGATTTCACAACGACTTTTTGTGTGATCTAGAAATTGTTATTCTGGGTCTGAGTGTGATGTGTATGTGAAATTGTATGTTTGTAAATGCACATACGGCACAGATAAAAATCATAGTATAGGGCTAGGTTAACAAAAAACTAATCAAATATCTATACACTCTACAATAACAATCAATAAAACAGTCAATACTTCTTAAAAACTTCAATACAGTTCAGTGTAAATCTGAAAATTAGACTTTATAAAGACAATAAATTGCTCACAGGTAAACAAAGCAATCACATTGCTTTCTTATCAACACTAATAGAGATAAACAGAACCAATACTTGGACTTTTATTAGTCCTTAATGAAATTCGCAACGAAATACGACTTTGTTGGGACTTTCAAAGCATCAACTAAAGCCGATGCCCTTTACGTTGTCTAGAATTTAAAACAGTTTAGATAAATTTTGTAATTTGTTTATGCTATTATTACTGAGCTAGAAATATCGGGTACCTTGTAACGAGCCAAAATCAATATACCTACTATGAATAATTTATTTTGAACGGGATCTTGTCATGATTGATCATATCATGTCGTGGTTGCTCGGAGGTTAAGGAGCCCGCTTCTCATGCATGAGGGTGTGGGTTCGAAACCTTGTTTTTCCGAGTTATATGTACTTTCTATGATTATTTAGACACCACTGACATACGGTGAAAGTAATCATCGCGAGGAAACCTGGACTTATCATTTCTAATTATAAGTTTGAAATCGCCAACCCGCATTGAGCAAACGTGGTGATTAATGCTCAAACCTTCTCCGTGTGAGAAGAGGCCTTTGCTCAGCAGTGGGCACTTATTGGCTGATGATGATAATGATTGATCTTGTCATGTATCGTCATTTTATTGGCATAAAATAAAATCCTACTTTTTTATATTACGACGACGATTTTTTTTTTATGATTACTATGAAAATTAAATTGAAAATAATTTCTTTTTTTTAACTATTTTACGAAACCAATTGGGTCACTTTATTAAACGTACAAATGACCTATCGCATTATATTTTCTTATTATTTTGCTACTATGGTAAAAATGCTAACATAATTTGTATGGAGCTTTATCTAATCCATATCGAGTCAGCAGCAAACTTATTTTAAGTTAGAAAAATAACCTTCCCTGTCGCGTGTGAGGTCGTCATAAAGGTCCCGGTGTCACGTCACCATGTGGGTTCAAATGCTCCGGCACGGAGCAAAAGTAAGGATGGACGGTTTTAGACATTTAAAGACTCCCTCCAACTTCACTGAGGGTGGAAGGAGCTATTTACCTACTTTAATAATATTTCTACCCACACAATAACAACAGGAAAAAAATCTTTTTTCGTAAAGGGAAGGTATGTTTTCGCTATCACGCCGATATGCGTATACGATTAGCTCATAACCAATCTATTCACTCGAGCCTTGAAGACCTAGGATATGCCTTTTTTGTGAGGGGCAAATGGGTCCCCAAGGTCAGTCGGAGTGTCAGACTCTTGCTGAGTAAAAACCCCCCCGTTCCCTCTCCTGCTCTGACTGCAGCGACTCATTGCACTTATCCCCTTAAGACTTACCTTAACTCTTCTAGTTCAGTTCTGAATGCGTCCCCATCAACCGGTTTTGACCGGTTCTTGAACACCAACATTGGTAGTGATCCCATCTGATCTATCGCTCTGTTTGTACCCGAAAAACGTTGGGATAAATTCGACCTGAAACAAAAAAAATTAACACAAATTAATAAACAATGGAAAGGGTTATTTTTATTGCTACAATACTATCTTCTCGCCATACTCAGAGTCATCTACTTAATGAATACTTGCACAGTATTTAGCAATTCTATTGTTTTTTTTGAGGAACATTACTGTTGCTTTTGGAAAGTTTAAGTAATCATTAAATATCTCTGAGTATGGCAGCTAACTCCTCATATAACATGACTGAATGAACTAGATGTAAATATCCTTAAGAATTAAGCAAAGACGAATAGTTAAGAGTAACTCTGTCCGGATGGGCCAGCTCGACCAGTGATACCACGGTCTCACAGAATACCAGCGCGTAACAATGTTTACCTACGTTTTGTAATTAGGGTAGCCGGAGGGTGGGCCTCCTGCTACCTCCTTACCCCTATCCCTCCGATTTTCCAAACCTTTAATCCCAAAAAACCGGCAAGGTACTCGTAACTCCTCTATCGTTTTATAAAATTTTTGTCACACGCCTATTTATGGAATAAATCGACAAAGGAGTATACGGATTACCTGGTGGTAAGCAGTTAGCGCCGACCATGGATGCATAATTAAATTCCACCATTAAAGATAAGACCCCAAAAATTATGAAATTATATCAGGGTGAGGCAAGAGGGAGTGTCAGACTCTTACTGACTAAAACTCCCGTTCTTTCACCTTTATTTTTTATATGATAGGTGCAAACGAGCAAATGGATGAACTGATGGAAAGCAATCGGCGCCACCCATGGACACCCGGAATAATAGAGGAGTTACGAGCGCGTTGCCGACCTTTTGAGCATTAGTGATTTAGAGATTTAGGGATTGAGGGGGGATTGGGGGAGGGGAAGGATTGGGCCTCCGGTAACCTCACTCACACGTCGAAACACAAAGCTGTGGTTGTTTCACAACCAGTTTTCTGTGAGGCCATTTGTATCACTCCGGTCGAGCCAACATGTTTGTGCCGAAGCATATCTCTCTCACACCCCTGCTCTAGGCCGAGGCGGCGGAACCGTATTGCGCTTGCCACAATCAGATAGGAAGATCATTTATTTCCCTTGTATTCATCACCATCATGACATCTTTTCATTTTCTATGACAGAGGTTAACCTATTACAAAATATCTAATGTATGATGACTTCATCATAAAAAATTTCCAAAATGACTTTCAAATCCATTATGCGTGTTATAAATTCAAGTTATGTCTTATTTGTTTATAAGTTTTTATTTAACATGTAATGTATTAGTCATATGTGGCCATAATTATGAATGTTTGTGAAGTGGAATATTCCAACGATTTTTTTAGGTACTCTTCAACTCAAATTCACCTCAGTCACCTCTAGATGTCATAATTGGGTAGTTTCCTAGGTCATAAATAAATTAATTCGACGTTTCATTACAATAAAATATTTAAAAATAAGTATACTTTTATTCATCGATCGATCGATACCTACACTAAGTTTTAGATTTCTTTTACTAATTATTAAGAAATAAGTAAGCTATTTGACGCAAAAATGTTATGCCGTTATAGCTCAGTTTTTCATACAAATTTCACAGATAAAAGAATCGTTTTTGACGTTTGGATAAAAGTATTGAATTTGACTAGTTGGTAAGTTGGTAACTGGTGTCGTGGTGGCCCGGACGTTAAGGAGCCCGCTTCCCATGCATAAGGGTGTGGGTTCGAAACCTGGCAAGTACCAATGTGACGTTTTCAGAGTTATATGTACTTTCTATGATTATTTAGACACCACTGACATACGGTGAAGGTAAACATCTTGAGGAAACCTGGACATACATTTTCTAATTATAAGTTTAAAATTACAAATCCGCCTTGAGCGCGCGTGGTGATTAATGCTCAAACCTTCTCCGTGTGAGAAGAGGCCTTTGTTTCACTAAATGGTTGTTCAACTATACATTACCTCAAAGTGCTGCCATTGGTGAAAATGAAGAAAGCCACTTCAGATCTCTCTTGCTGTAGCCTCGTCACCAATTTTCCCAATTCTGTCGCTCGACTAACCTGGGACAAGAGAAAATAAGTGTTATGCTAGTTGTAATACGTTATGATATTCATTGACAAAAAAGGAGCAGAGTCAGATACAAATTCATGTCTGTCTGTGGCATTGTAGCTCCTGAACAAATGAACCGTTTTGAATGCATTTTTTATTCTTTGTTAATAGTCTCCGGGGTACAAGCGCTATGCCAAGACGAAGTAATAACTTATTTTTAACTCTCTAGCATTATTCATGTTATTATATGTACCCTCAGTATGTACCTAATGCATTTTAATGAGCGATTAATATATGTATATGTATATTGTTAAGTCCATATATCTCGGAAACGACTTCGACCTGTCGCACAAATGTATGGAGAATTCCAAAGGTCATCGATAAGTCTGGTCATAAATTAATTTCCGTGCATTTGTTTTATTTTGAAAGCCATCATGACTTATAGCACTTTTGGTAACAGGACCAGTTCTACTAGAACTAGTGCCGACTAGGATACAGGATATATTATTATACTACACATATTCTGACGTTGAGCGCCATGGGAGAATATGTATGTGGGTCTGTGGGATTTGCCTTCAACAGTCACCTGTCGTCAGTCAATGACTGTATACAACATTTTCTACAGTATGTAGTTGACTTGTTGACTTGCCCCCAGAAGCAGAAGGCAATTCACCTAACATCTATCTTTCTAAAATGTTTTTTTTTTGTGAGGGGAAAATCATCAAGTGACTTCTCCCGCCCAGAGGCGGGCGGAGTGTCAGACTCTTACTGACTAAAAACCCCCCTGTTCCTTCTCCTGCTCTGGGCCGAGGTCGTGGTGCCTCATTGCGCTTACCCCGCAACCCCGGCTGAATCTATCTAAAATGTTTATGTTATAAAATCAGTGAAATGCACATTTTTGGTTTTCCCCACATACCCAGTTCCTGAACTTGCGGGATTTTTGGGAAGTTCCCGCTCCCGAGGGATTTTTGGGATAAAAACTATCCTATGTCCTTTTGTTATTTTGGGTCCGGGTATATCGTGTATGTAAGCTTGCATGTTTATATACCCACGAAACAGGAAGCAATCATTTAAAAAAATATTCATTCACAGATTTAAGTTTTATTTAAGCAGATTTTAGCACGCGTCTCTCATATTAACGTTAAGAGCCAACCTATCTCAAGAGCTCCATCGAATAATAAAACTAACAATATTATTGTTAGTAAAATCTAAAACATAGGAGAAGCTGAACCCTACCTCATACATTTTCATGAGGTCGCGATACAACGTCTATCAAACGCTACTTTATCGGTACTGACGTGAAATAAATTACATTTTTAAATTGTATCTCTATAAATAAAAAGGGGTTTTCATTGGTTGTTGACGGTCCCATCGCCTGGTCGTATCAAATTTTGTTGTTTTATTTTTGTTTGCTATCAACAATCGCATCAACTGTGCCCTGGCCCACCCTAGAAAAAGATATTGGGGGTCCACTGATTGACAAATTTATCGGGACTCCCATTGATAGGAGCATAGTCTATGTAGTTGGGTTTTGCAAGTTGTACATATTTAAAAGGCAAAACCCTTCCCATCCCCCAATCCCTTAATTTCCATAACCTTTATCTTCAAAAGATCGGAAACGCACTCATAACTCCTTCATTTTTATTATAGCTTTAGTGAGACATTCTAAATTAATTATTATGGCAGCGCGACAGTCGCCGCATCGCGTAGCGCGGAATGCTGCTCTTGAATATGAGACCTCTAGCATGGCTTGAAACTAGTCGAGTATCTCGTAAAATTATTACGTGAGGAAGCCGAAAACATAATAATTAAACTCCTTCATTGTTGCGGGTGTATAGGCGGCGCTCAATGCTTACCATTAGGTAATTCGCCCACTTACTGCCGTCATATCAAAAAATGTTCTTCCAACCGCTTTGGAGACGTAAAAATGATGTTATGTATGTTACGCTACGGTGTAACAGACGGCCTAACGGTGTAAATGAGGAACATTTGCGCATCGCGACAACTTTCCATACACGAGGCGCGAACTCAGCATTATAATTGTTCTAATTTCAACCCGTGTAAAGAATGTCATTCTTGGTACAACATCGACCATTAATCCACTACTTTTTGTAATTTTACTTAATTAAAGTTATATTTTAAGAAACAATTTGGTTTCCTTTGCATCCTCCGGCTACAGCCTACATAATTGGCGCAGTCGGTAGGATACTCGCGGGCCGGTTCGCGAGAGTAAATTGCTAGGATCGCTAATAGGCCTCCAATTCGCGAGCCACCCGGGTGGTTATCGAACACCGCACGAGTATCCGGATCTGGAAGAGCTGCAGCCACCTTATTATTCTTAGTGATAATATAGATAGCTTATTTGAAGCTCTTTATAAGTTAGAATATACCTTAGGTTTTATACGTGCATCGAGCACACCACATACAGTAGTTAGTTTAGCTGAAATTAGGAATATGTTAGATAAATTAAGGATTTTATATTCGAAAGATGAAATCCTTGACTTAGAATTAAGAGACTATTACGATATTATGAAACTAGGATACTTCTATAGAGATAATCAAATAGTTATAGTCTTTAAGATGCCGATTGCCTTCCCTCAACTTTACAACCTTTATAAATTATCCGTCATTCCTAATAGAAATAATCAAATCCTTATACCTACCTCACCTTATATAGCGATTTCTGGAAAGGATTCTACGTACATGGAGGCTGAATGCCCGAAGGTAAATTCCCTGTACCTCTGCGAGACGAAGACGAGATACGAAACACCAGATGAACCAAGCTGCATCCAGCACCTGATTCTCCACCAGGAACTTCTCCCATCATGCAAACTTACCAGAGTCATATTGAAGAAAGACGCCGTAGAACAACTAGATGAAAAGCATTACACCATGAATTTCCCAAAACCCACAAAGGTTAAGATATTCTGCAAGCAGGAAATCTACAAAACTCTGGAAGGAAGCTATCTGGCTGTCATCCCATATAACTGCTTTATCAAGACACCACACTTCACTATAGCGAATTCCAACAACCACATCAAGGGATTTGCCCTGGAAATCATACAACTGCCTATATCCAGTGAGCCACCAGCGTCGAGGGAGCCACCAGTTATACTAAACTCTATTGACTTAGAAAATCTACACTCTGTCAATAAGAAGATAATCCTCGAAACTCCAGTAGAACTGAGCCACGTCACCGATACAAGCCTTTACCATACAACGATTCCTGTCTACGCTATACTATTCGGTGCAGGTGCACTCATCATTGCATTGGTGTATCGTCAGCAGCGATTACGACGTTCTCAGAGAAACCAGTCTTCAGAAAGTCATAACCTACCACCTTCTGGAGAGAGCGCTGAAACCCAACCATCCAGGAAGACTAACCCCAGCGAGATTATAGTTGACCACAGCAACATTTCATCATCCCTTCCACGCAGGATTTCGAAATAGTTGCTGATCTTCGGGGGGAGGTGTTACGCTACGGTGTAACAGACGGCCTAACGGTGTAAATGAGGAACATTTGCGCATCGCGACAACTTTCCATACACGAGGCGCGAACTCAGCATTATAATTGTTCTAATTTCAACCCGTGTAAAGAATGTCATTCTTGGTACAACATCGACCATTAATCCACTACTTTTTGTAATTTTACTTAATTAAAGTTATATTTTAAGAAACAATTTGGTTTCCTTTGCATCCTCCGGCTACAGCCTACATAATTTGTATACAAAAAAAATATAAAATAAACAAAACTTTATTTCTTTGCAAAATTTTCTTCTTATTGTTAGTTGCTGGAGTCTCCTTTTAGGCATGTTAATATGCCTGTGTCAGGAGGCTCCACTCATCGATTTTCATTTAAAATCTTAAGTTAAGCAACATTGGTGTCGGTGTCTCAAATTATGTTTTTATTGTCAAAAAGTCTAATGTCAATTGCATACTAAGTTTGTTCATTGCGATTTAAATATTACAGTTGCTAAATATGCTAATTAATCTGCTCTCCAAACCTACAAACTTACCCCTATACGACGGATATTTCGATTTAGAGGCTAAGTTACGTTTTTTAAAAAGCCTTTTAAATCCGGGTTTTGATCCCAAAATGGTCATGGTAGATGTTTATTTTCATCCTTAATAAACCAAAAGCATAGCAAAAGACATGAAAACATATATTATGTATAGTTAGGTACTTTATATATGCAAAGCATGTGCTCTTTTACCTGTTCTTCAACATCAGCAACGTCTCTTCCGTTGGTGATGCTACTCTTCAAAGATAAGGTGGTCTGCACGATGAGGGCCAAGATTGGAATGAATGGTAGGAGGAGGAGTCTCCACAACTGACATCGACGGCTTCTACACCATCTTTGAAGTTTTGGAGCACAACTTGACTTTTCTTCTACTTTTATACTTGGAGGATCTGAAACAAAAAGAGGATTTTAATGGAAAAGGTTCGCAGTCAAGCACTACATTATGGCAAGTAAAAAAAAAACAGTCATCGCTAAGTGAGGCCCAATCTCTGGCCTCTCTCATCCCCAGTCCAAATACTTCAACCATCAAATCTATAACTCCAAAAGGCTAGTAACGTACTCCCCGATTTTGCGTATGTCAATGAATGGCGTAGATTGCTTACCATCAGGTTGTTCGTATCCTCGTTTGCCGTTCAAAAGCTCATCTATACCACATTGAAAACAAATTACACATACAAAATATCCATCGCGTACGAGTACATTATGTTGTACTAGCTTAAAGCTTAGCTAGTATAAAAACTATCCTATGTCCTTTCTCGAGATCCAAACTACATAAGTCTGTACCAAATTTCACAGAAATCGGTTCAGTAATTTAGGCGTAAAGAAAAGACAGACGGAGTTACTTTTGCAATTTTTTAAAAGAAGTTGGGATTTTCTTCAATTAAAAAAAAACAAGCCATCTTCTTGGGTTTGAACCAGAGACTTGTGACGTTTTAGTACAATGATACTAAAATTCAGTTCTGCAGTTGCAAAAACATCATAAAAAAATATATCTCATAACAAAAGTATCTAGTAGGTACTAATAATTTTTAAACATTCATCTTCGATCGTAAAACCCACATCAGTAAACAATAAATGGAATCCACATAAATCGCTGACTCAGAATTTAAAATTAAATAGTATTCAAATGGATGCATTTCAATCGAACGAGAGACAAATGGAGAATGAAAGAGATAAGTGCACTAAAGTGTAGTGGAGCGAAGTGGAACTGATAAAAGCGGGGCTGAAAATGGGCGGGGCTTACTTATTAGATGAACGAGCATTTCAATGTGTGACCAGTGAGCGTGTACGATAGTGCTTGGTTTGAGAGCGTTTACAACGTTCGAACTTCGAACTCAAAAATCAAGGAGGTAACTACAGAACTTATTATAAAGAACCTTCGACACGAATGGGTCGGCTCGACCATAGTGATACCACTGCCTCACAGAAAACCGGCGTGAAACAATCACAGAATCGTTTCGCTTTTCAAAAAAAACCGTTATCCCCAAAAGACCGGCCACGCACTCATGACTCCTTTGGTGTTGTGGGTATCCATGAGCGGCGCCGATTGCTTGCCATCGGGTAATCCGTTTGCTCGTTTGCAGAACTAACGGTAAAACGGGGTGAATAGAATTTGAGGGGTGAATAGATACACGAAAGGGGTGAATAGATGTTGGCGAATTTTCCTTGTATCTATTCACCCCTCTTCCGTGTCTATTTACCCCTCGAATTCTATTCACCCCGTTTTACGGTATGGCATAAAAAAGAAAACTTAGTACTCATAACTGCATAGTACAAAACGAATTCGCTTTCCCTGTCCCTATATCCCTATGTATGCTTAAATCTTTATAACAACGCAACGAATTTTGTTGCCTGTTTTTTGGAGGATAGAGTGATTGAAGTGGAAGGTTGGTATGTATAATAACATCCAATAAATGGTGGAGAAATTAAGTTGAGTCCCTATCTGGTACGTAATATATCGTGAACTAAGGACAGGAATTTGCAATTTTAAGTTTTCATACAAATTTTAAATTGCAAAGCAGTTAGCTCAAAGAATAATTGATTGATTGGACTGAATAACTGATTAAAGAATATTTCTAAAATATACTGGATAAAGCTTTACGAGCTTAATACGAGTAAATTACTATGAGTATCAAGTTTCATCAAAATCAGTTCAGAAGTAAGGTTCAGTTTTTAAGTGTCAGAGTGCCATGCTTCGGCACGAACGGGTCGACTCGACCGGACCATTGCCCTATAGAAAACCTTTTTGTGTGTTTCACCATCTGAGTAAGGTCACCGAAGGCAAAATATTGATGATCGTTCCAGTGTTAATTCGAATGGAGAAGAACGAGAAAGAAACATCATCGTTACTCTTTTTAAAAAATAATATTTTTCTTACAATATTATACATGACAATACTTTATTTGACACACATTATTGTATCAAATGTTAGAACAATGCAAGTTATTACAAAAAATAACAAACGATGGGATCAATTCCTCATCATTAAATTCTATATCCTTTATTTTCTCGAACATGGCGCTCACATATGCATATAGACAATCCAAAATAATGCTTCTATATGTATACAAACTCAATGTAAAATAATAAAAAAGAAAATGTTTGATCTTACAATTAAGCATTCATTCGTTCTGAGAGCTTGAGTCACAAATCATATCTATCTTTTACTTTATAAAAGGAAAGTTATGTTATCATCAACATCATCATCATCAGCCCGTAAGTGCCCCCTGCTGAGCAAAGGCCTCTTCTCACATGGAGAGGGTTTAGAGCATTTATCAACACGCTTGCTCAATGCGGGTTGGCGATTTCAAACTTATAATTAGAAATTATACATAAGTCCAGGTTTCCTCACGATGTTTACCTTCATCGTATGTCAGTGGTGTCTAAATAATCATAGAAAGTAAATATGTATAACTCGGAAAAAGTCACATTGGTACTTGCCAGGTTTCGAACCCACACTCTCAAGTCAAACAAAAATCATATCCTTCTATCTTTTACTTTTTATAAGGAAAGTCATGTTATACCGAGTTTTATTTGTTATTACTATAACTAATTAGTACTTTGACTTATTTTTATGGGATGGATGGACGTCTCACCTGACTGATTTGATTTGATTAAGTACACAGTTGTCGTTAAAATCTACTGGCTATTGTGTAACGTGTCGAGGGTTCGAGCATTGCACGGGCCAATTCTTTGTTCGATTTTTTTATGTGAAATTATCTGTTTGTCAACTGAACACACTACACAAAAATGCTATTATTTATTATGTTTTCGGCTTACTCACGTAATAATTTGACGAGATACTCGACTAGTTTCAAGCCATGCTAGAGGCCCATATTCATGAGCAGCATTCCGCGACACGCGACTCGGCGACCGTCGCGCTGCTACTGGCTACTCGAGTCTGCGTGTAAATTATTACGTGAGTAAGCCGAAAACATAATAAATAATTTAGAATGTCTCACGAAAGTTATAATAAAAAAATGCTATTGTACAAAAACATTTAAAAGGAAATATTTTCAAAATAAATACAACCATGACAGAATCATGATAGAATCAAGAGGAATTAAAAAAAAATGCGTAACACATAGCAAATGAAACTAAACGCGAATCACATTCAATCTAAATTCAAAATACTTTTAATGGAACCGGTGATAAAAGAAGAAAAAAATAGTTCAAAAATCACCACAATTTTGTAAAAACCAAAACAAGTTAATTAAGAAAAGAAAAGAAGTCTCCATAATTATTTTATTAAGCACACGCCTCAACTAAAACAATATAAAACTCATCTCTTAGATTGAGTCATGAGAAACTGTTCAATCTTCATAACTGTCCTGAAGTTTATTTGTTTCCACTGATAACCAATGCAATTACTTTAATAAGCAGGGGAAAAAGACACGCTTTCCAAATAAAATATAACGATATCTTGTTTACTTCTTACCAAGTACAGTTATCGACGAAAGTGTCTAATACTTTTGCTAATTAGTAAATTGTATGCTAATGTCTGTATTATCTGATTGATGAAAGGTATATTATGTAGAATATGGCGAGTTAGAAACCATATTTAAATATTTTTTAAATTACACAAAAACAATAAATATGTTTAGAAACCATAATTATTGTTTTTGTGTAATTCAATATTAAAGATTGTTTACCTATAAAATTTACCTACTATTAACTATGTGGTAAAAATGTCGTGGTGGCCCGGAGGTTAAGCAGCCCGCTTCTCATGCATGAGGGTGTGGGTTCGAAATGTGACTTTTTCCGAGTTATATGTTATACTTTCTATGATTATTTAGACACCACTGACATACGGTGAAGGTAAACATTGTGCGGAAACCTGGACTTATAATTTTTAATTATAAGTTTGAAATCGCCAACCCTCATTGAGCAAGCGTGGTGATTAATGCTCTAACCTTCTCCGTATGAGAA